GGAAACAGGGAGCTAATTATATTCCTGGCACGGCTTCCTTAGCTGCTGTAATCTACTCTAGGTCTTTATGTCCTCTGCAGATAGGAAAACTACCAGGACCTTGAAGCAATGGAAATAATAATCTCTTACATTTGAATAATACTTTATAATTTCAATATATTCAACATATATTCATATCCATTATCCCATTTGTTTATCAACATAAATGAAGTAAACAGGGCAGATATTATCTCATTTCTGGTGAAGGAAAAAACCAAAGCTCAAAAAGGTTTGAGCTTTTATCAATTTTTAGTAGCAAAATTGGGACTAGAACCTTTGTCTTCTGGTTCCTAATTCAGAGTTCTTTCCACACTACCACTTTAACTGTAGCTTGAATGGTTTTGCCCTAAATGGAATATATTTTAAAACATAAATAGAACATAATATTTTGTTATATAACATCCCAGCTGCTGGGTCTGGTTTAGCAGAAGTTTGAAGAGCAGCAGAAGAGGGTGGGAGGTAACCAAGTGTGTAAAATGAGTTCCACATTTTGAGATGTTCAACAAAAGCAACAGAGAGTGCTCAGAGCATTGATTGGGACAACACTGATTCTACAACCCTTAGCCTGTTGTGGCTTTGCATTATTCCTTATCAACTCCAATGACAAAATCCAGCCTTTTCAGCATTGTGCTCCTACATTCCTAACATGTTCCTCCAACTTATCTCCCAACTTCCTGCTTCCTTTGTCGGTGTCATACATGGTGAAGATCCCTCCTTCCTACTGTCTGCCTCATTCTCCCATCCCAATTCATATCCATCTTGCTTGTCCTGAGGCATTTTACCTCTGTCTTTTCCTCTACTAACCCTTTTGGTTTCACTGCATGGAATTCCATTCATTGTAAGTAATCTTTGCTACATAAATAAAATAATATGGCAGAAGACACTCAGCAAGTAATAACTGACAGTTTTTTTATTATTATCCTCTGAATTTTCTTAGTGCTACTTTTTACTTTCCAGCCTCAACTGAAACCTGGGCATTCTTTGCCCCGACGATATCTCTTCCCTCCAAACTTTCTCCAACTTGTCCATAACACAGTTTTGACCTGGTTGTGTGTGTTGTGTGGGGGACTTTCTCTAGTGGGGAACCAGTCTTCTCACTTTCCAACTCACAGGAGTCATCAAACGTCCTGTTTCCTCATGTTTTTGGACAGCAAGGGAGGAGTCAGAGGCAATGAAAAGTTTGAAGATAAAAGCAAGAGAGAGAAAATGTGTAAAGAATGTCCCAGAGGAGATAGGGAGAGAATGGCGTTATGTCATGGGTAGAGGTGTTGACCTTAGGGAGAAAAAAAGGATTTCTTTGGAGATGATGGGAGGGAAAGACTGAAAGAAATTCCGAGGTAGAGGAGTTTTCAGGGATAACGTCCAACTTTTCCATGAAGCAAGAATGGAGGTTATTTGCTTAGCCTGGGATTGAGTGTCTAGAAAGAATACAAATGATTTGAAGTACTACTTTTGGTAAGTGTGGTCAGGAAGCCAATGAATAAGGTTGTGGAATGGCAAAACAGTGGTAGGAATTATCCACACCACGTCTCCCACCCCTAAAGGACAAAAAAACTACTCACAGTTTATTTCTCCTTTAGCAACTCAGCAAGTAGTCAAGCTAGGATGAAATGATAACAAGGAGAGGTTAATGTGAGGAAGATCCATTAGGAGATGAGGCTCACTCCTCCAAGGTAGAATCACATGTCCTTTTCCCACATTCTACCAACTGCCCTACTTCAGGCCCTTGTAGAATAAGTACTGCAACTGCCTCCTACCAGGCAAGCTTCTAGCCTTTCTCCCTTCGGATTCATCCTTCATTGCACTTATCACTCTATTGTATTTATGTTTAATTAACTGTCTCACTCATTAGGCTGTAAGCAACTTGAAGGCAGTTTCCGAGTCTTCTCTGTGCCCCTGGGGTCTAGCACAGAACCTAGTGTGTAGTAGGCACTCTTTGAGAGAAAGCCACTGGAGTGATATTTTTAAAATATAAACCTGATCATGCTACTTACCTGCTTAAAAATTTTAAATGGTCCTTAGCATGGTATTCTAGCACCCCCATAGTCTGATCCTTGTGTGCTTCCATGGTTTCATCTACTGCCACCTTCTCCCCTTTCCCACCCATAGCCCTGTCTTAACTTAGCCACACTTAACTAGTCCCTTAGCAAGCCATGTTCTCTGACTTTTGTGCTTTTACACATGCTTTCTCTCTACCTGAAATGCCCTACCTATTCTTGTCCACCTAGCAAAGTCCTGCTCAGTGATACCAGGGTAGGTCTCAAACATCCTCCTGCCAATTACCAAAGTAGAGCTAAAGTCAAAGCTTGTGGACTGACCTACTTTTATCTTTCTTTTCCCTCCTTGGAGAAATAGTTGAGGCTAGCCTATGTGCTTGTGGGGTGTCCTGGTGAGCTGGTGCCAGAGGTGAGCAGTGAGTCGGGTTCCAACATGTTTTTTTGTTTGTTTGGTTTTTTATTATTTATTTATTTATTTCAGCATATTATGGGGGTACAGATGTTTAGGTTACGTATGTTGCCCTTGCCCCCGCTCCCCCCCTAAGTCCGAGTTTCAAATATGTCCATTCTTCGGGTGGTGCGCATTGCACTCTTTGTGTATGCATATACCCGTCCCCTCCTCCCCCTCCCCCCTCCTCCCTGCCCAACATCCAATAGATGTTATTCTTATATGTGCACTTATGTGTTGATCAGTTAATACTAATTTGATGGTGAGTACATGTTTGATATGTATCTATCACGGTTCTGTGTCTGCACCAGCCCAAACAATTCCTCAGAATGTTCCCTCTGGTCTTTCTTCTAACCAACTTCCCCCTTCAAATCGTTCCAAATCAGTTATAAAGGACTCTGGGGGCCCTAGGTCTAGATGGTGTTGATAAACTCTGTAAGCTGCCAGGATGGACTGGGATGGGGACCAAGGTGCAGGCCTGGGTTAGGCTGGGCAGCTAAGAAATACTCTGTTGAGTGTGTGTAGGTTCAGAAGCCAGATGTGTTTCCAAAAGCCCCCTCAGAAATCAAAGGCCTTTTCTGTACCTGCATAGGGGCTTGGCTGCTGCTGTTTGGGCCAAACAGGAGGGGCTATCCATGCAGCTCTGAAAGCTTGTGGAGGGGACAATTGGTTCCCATTTTGTTTGTTTTAAAGAGGACATCAGGGCCGGGTGCGGTGGCTCACGCCTGTAATCCTAGCACTTTTGGAGGCCGAGGCGGGCGGATTGTTTGAGCTCAGGAGTTCAAGAACAGCCTGAGCAAGAGCGAGACCCTGTCTCTACTAAAAAAAAAAGAAAGAAATTAGCTGGACAACTAAAAATATATAGAAAAAAATTAACCGGGCATGGTGGCGCATGCCTGTAGTCCCAGCTACTCGGGAGGCTGAGGCAGGAGGATCACTTGAGCCCAGGAGTCTGAGGTTGCTGTGAGCTAGGCTGACGCCACGGCACTCACTCTAGCCAGGGCAACACAGTGAGACTCTGTCTCAAAAAAAAAAAAAAGAGGACATCAGGCCTTATTTCTAACTATTTACTGAAACCAGCAGTTTACATTTTTAAAATATCATCTCAAAAGAAAAACACATATACACACTAGTTATTTCCTAGCTGAGGGTTTTCAATAATAATAATGGTGACCACAGTTAATAATAATGTATTATGTATTTTAAAATTGCCTAAAGAATATTTAATGTCCTCCCCAAAATTAGTGAAGTGATGGATATGTTAATTAGCTGGGTTGAATCTTTCTACATTGTATACATAGTTCAAAACATCAAATTGTACCCTGTAAATATACACAATTATTTGTCAATTAAAAAGTAATAAAAAATTTCTTCATAAAACATCACACAAAAATAAAAAATGCAGCTCTAAAAAAAAATAATTCTCAGTCCTTTAGACACTTTGTAAACACTAGTCCAAGCTCCTATGGGCCAGGAAGTATTTTCTATTCTAAGGTTCAGTGCTATCACAGCATATAGAGTTTTTAGAGGCAAATCAGTGAAGTTAAGCAACCTACCCTCAAACCAATCTCTTTTTCTCTCTCATACACATCCTGTTCTCAGAAATGGAGGGAGAAAAGAAGAATGTTTCTCTTATCTTTTGCCCTGGACTGGAACTGCTAGTCTTTAAGTCTTAGTATGTTTATGTAGGAGGATGGGGATGGGAGCTTTCTGATTGCTGTTCATCTACCCATTCGTTCAATTTACTAACTCAACATATATTTATTAAGTAACCTACTGTGTGCTGGGCACTCAGTAAAGGAATATAATCTCTATCCCGTCAGTGGCTTCTCTCAAGTCTCTCAGGGTGTTTGAAGCTCATATGCTCTTTTCTTTAACAAGGGTGACAATTAAAAGAGTAAGAGCTGGTATGGAGAAGAGCAGGAGGTGACTGAGGTCGTCATTGAGGGGAGGCACAGAGGAGTGGATTTTCTCAAATCATGAAAGGTCCATTTTGTTTCCCCCATTTGTTGAGGCTTTTTCTGCATTAAGACCTAAGAGGGGCTGAAGATGGGACTTAGGGTTAACTGGCAGACTGCCTGCGCCCAAGACTGTATCTTGAGTACCAGTGACAATTCTAGAGCACAGTGTTTCAACCCCCAACACAGAAACTGAATCCTGGACTGGCTACCAAAGAGCCCTTGCCAGCCACTGGCTCCGAAGTTGGTTTTGGCTCTGAGCTAGATCTGTGTAAGTTGAGGCTCAGGCTCCTCGCTCAGCTCAGCAGCTTGTATTGATCTCGGGGCTCTTTTGTCTCCTCCTCCCCAGTAGAAGCCTCTCCCCCTCTCCCCCTCTCTCCCTCTGCCTGTCAGGCTCTTCCGCTTTCCTCTTCTGCTTCTAATGAATTGAAATCTCCAAAAGCCGCCACGTCTTTGGTAGTTTTACAAAACTGTCCTTGCTCTTTCTGCTTTTGCCCAGTCAAGGGTATCTATGCCTGAGGTCGGAGTGATGCTGTTAGTCCTGGTGATATGATTGCATAGCAACACAGAGCCGAGAGGGGAGGAGGAAAGAAGGAGAAGGAGGGCAGGGAGGTGGGAGAGACAGAGGGAGAGTGTGCATACAGCAGCTGTCGGCATCCCTGTCTCAGGGACTTCTTTGCTGATTCACAGAGGCAGCCCAGCCCCGGCTTCCCAGCTTCCAGCTGCCGCCTGCTTCTCAGACCTGACGGAATCAGAAGGTAGGCCATAGATAAATTATTTCCAAGCCTCGCCCTTGTTCAGCTGGCTGAGGGGAAATGACTGAAGGAGGGGAAGCTCCAGAGGTACTGAGAGAGAGAGAGAAAGAGAGAGAGAGAGTGTGTGTGTATGTATGTGAGAGAGAGAGCACGCGTGCCTGCCTGCCTGCCTGCATGTGCCTTTGGGGGGAAACTTGCATTAAAAAATGCTCACAATGAAGTATCCACTGCTTGGATTCATAAAAAAAGATGCCCGGGAATAGAAACTCAAGCTAATTTGGGTAAATATGATCTAAAAATGAATAAGAGGAAAGTCCACGGTTTGCTTCTTTGAGGAGAGGAGTATTTACTTATTTATTTTAGGTTCTCAATGACATGCTTTTTGTCCAAGGGTAGATTTCCTGGCAGGAGGGAAGGAAGGGTATGTGGAAAGCACTGGCTGAAAAGGGAGGAGAGAGGAAACACAGGACCTTGGAGCAGGTTCCCTGAACCAATGAGTATTCTGGCCAGCAGACAGGACACAGGAGTTCTTCCCAGAAGTAAACCAGGCTCTGACCTAAGAACCTGGGGCTGAAAGGCTCATCTAATCACTGCATTTACTTCCTGGCTCCCTTGTTTTCCCCGTTACATTTTCCCCCCTTGTCTCTCCTGGTTTCCTTTCTACCCCCAGTAATCAGGAGGCATCTCTCTACTTTTGAGAGGATAGCTTGGAGCAGTTTGAAATAGGGCTTACTTCTCCTGGAGTACAACACCCCATCTCCTTCTGCTCTCACTGCCTTTGCCAGCATCAGGCCAGGCACTCTAGCCTGGTAAGTGGGCCTGAGACAGTATGGGTAGTTAAGGTTTATCCTTCCTTTGGTAGGCAGGTCAAGCCAGGCCTCATGGTGTTGGGTCCAAGCAGGTGGCAGGGCTGGGGTGGGGTGGCGTGGGGTAAAGGAGAAGGGACGCCAGCAGCAGCTGCTGCCAGCTTCCATTGAGAGCATGGTTCATGCTGTCCGGAAAAGAATGTACTTTTATGTTTTCTTTTTGATTGTTCAAAAGAACAAAAGCCTTTAAAAAGCTCTATGTCTAGTTCATCTTAACTCCTGAATTTCCCAAAGGAATCCTTGTTTCTAGATTAAAGGCCCTCAGGTAAATCACCTTTTAAAAGGCCCTGTGGGAGCCACAAGACTCAGGAGGTTTGCCCTCTAAGGTTTGGGTGGGGAGAGTGTTCCAGAGAATCTCAGGGCTTTCTAAGGAAACCCCCCTGAAAAGGCAGTGGTGGAAATGGAAGTGTTAAGTGTCCTCTCCCTGAAAGAAGACTAATCCCTTCTTTTCCTGGGTGGACCTGCCCAGGGAAAGAAGGGATTAGTGGCCTCTGCCCTGTAGTCTTGCTTCCTGAAAACTAGCACTGGGGGATGAAGGCACATGGAAAGAGCTCCTCTTCCTGTGGGACTTGTACTTCCAGGCATTCAGCCCTAGCTAAGTAGCTCTGAGCTCCAGATCAGATCATCCTTCAACTCTGCCATCCTCTAGAGGATGGGAGCATGGCTTGAAGAAGCAAACTTAGCAAAGGCCCCAAGCCAGATAAGGACAGCATATCTGGGATGCCACCCTCCTAACCATAGATGCTCAGAAGTTTCTGATGTTGGATCTGTAGCAATGCCAACTAGGATGGGGTCTCATTAATGAAGCCTGAGATGATAACCTTCTAAACTTCTCAGGGATACTCACTCAGAGGAAACCCACTCGGTGGAAATTATACTATGAAACTACATTCCTCCCTTACAAAGGATTCTAAACATACATCAGCAACTAAAATAGCAAGTGAGATAAATCCTTCTAGGACAGCATTTACCAAACCAATGTTTTACAGAACACTGTTCTGAGAGAATGTTAATGTATTCTGTTTTAAAATAAAGGTTGAGTGTGTGTGCATGCATTCTATGGTCCAATAATTTTTTGGAAATGCTTCTTAACTGAATTCTCCTCTTGGAGAATCACAAGGTATATAAAGCATATTAAAGGCTCTGAGAAGTACTGCTGTAAATAAATCTATTTAATGTTGTTTAACTGAGTATATCCCAAACAGATTTGAGCAGGAAACACTTTTCTACATAGAAAACACTTTAGCATCTTACAGATGTGGTTTGGGGAATTGCCGCTAAAAAAAAAAAGAAAAGAAAAGAAAGAAAAAGAAGAAATAGGTACATGGATAAAACTTGTGAAATAATCTAGCCCAGCATTGCATTTTTAAACATGAAAAACCTAAGAGGTTAATCAAATTGTTCTCTTTCCCATAACTGATGTGTATCTGAGGTTTTCTCCTGATTCCCAGCCCACTGTACCCAACTACTGTTTCTCTAGCAAGTTCCCTCCTGTGAAACTTGTTTCAGGAAAATAAAGCAGATTTAAGGACTAATCCTTTAATTTTGAGTGCAATATTTGTATTTAATACATTTCTTTTAGTATTTTGTTATATATAAAAATTATCAACTTTCAGCATGGGATTTATTGCATTATTTTAAATAATTTGTTATTAAATATTTTGTATATTCAAAAAGGTATAAAGAATAACATAGTGAAAATCAGGGTACTCACTGCCCAGCTTAAGAAGGAAACATCACCAGTAGAGTTGAAACCCTCTGTCTATCCTCCTGTGATTAAAGCTCCTTCCCTCCCTCTGAAGTAACCACTATCCTGGATTTAGTGTTTATTATTCCCATGTATTTATTTATCCTTTTACAGCATGTGTATAGGTCTTTAAACAGCATATACTACTGCTTTATATTTTTCTCTTGTTCTTTTTTTTCTTTTTCTGATCACCTGACCTTAAATACTACTGCTTTAGATGTTTTAAAAGTTTATGTCAATAGTATATTACATGTATTCTTCTGCAACTTGTTTTTTCTATTCAATGTTATATTTGTCAAATGTATCCATGTTGTAACATGTGGCTCTAGTTCACTCATTTTTTTCACTATTGTATATCTATTTAATGAATACACCACCCTTTATCCATTCTACTGTTGACGGACATTTAGACTATTTTTAGTTCTGAGCTATCACAGTTAGGGCTATTCTGATCATTCTCTTGTAGATATTATTTGGTGACTATTTCTATTGGGTAGATATCTGGGATAGAATTGTCCCCTGCCCCCCAGGGTATGTGCATCGTTACCTTTGGGAGATATTGTCAAATTGCTCTCCAAAATGGTTTGCTAACTTACACTCCCTCCAGTAGTGTATAAAAGTTTTAGACTTATTGCCTTAATTGGCTGTTAGAATAAAATTCTCCCCCATGGGAATGCATCTCTGTTTTTTTCCAGTGGAAAATAAATTTTATTTTTCAAAATTGCTTGACAGCTAACTTCTCAGGAGTACATTTCCTTGTTTCCATTTGTAAACGAGGGGGTTGGTCTAGATCTCGTAGGTCCTTTTTAGCTTGACAGTCTGAGTTTCTATGATTTATTCATTAAATGAGGTACATCTGAAAAGGAACTTTGGTTTTTAGCTACATTGCAGGAATTATTTTAGGAGCATATAACAAAGTTTGGTACCAATGAAATGCGTGTTTCCTCTCTCTTACTGCCATGCTGTCAGGTAGAAAAGCAGTGCTGGTTGAGAGGGAGCGTGTCCTGCAGTGTTACCTTGGACTGGGGAGCCGAATCCATAGCCCATGGGAAGGGGCTTTCCTTCCCACTGCCCTGTTCTTTCTAGAACTTCTCCATCTTAGAAGTCTTCCCTAATTCTTGATTTTCTCTCCCAGGAATAATAAATGCTTGTTATATTTTAAAAAGGCAAAGAATATAAAGTAAAGAGGAGAAACCTCCTCACACAACTCTTCAGAAGTAGTATTGATGAACAAAAAAATGTCCAAGCTTTCTTACTACATATACGCACATATAGATTTTTTAAATGTTTTTACAAAATTGGAGTTATACCAGAAATACTATTCTGACACTTGTTTTCTTTTACCTAAAATATATATCTTTGACATCTGTTCAAATCAGTGCGTATAGATCTACCTCTTTCTTTTTAACGGCCACATAATATTCCATTGTGTGAATAGCTATCATAATAGATAACATTTGAGTATTTACTAAATGCCAGAAACTATGAATTAATTCTTTGCAATAAGGTTACGAGGTACGTCTTTGTTATCTCTGTTTTACAGATGAGGGGACTGAAACACAGTAAGGTTAGGGAGCTTGTCCAAATCTGTGCTGATAAGAGGCAAAGCCAGGATCCAAACTAGAATGTCCTAGCTCAGAGCCCCTGCTCTTAACAATCATGCTGTGCTGCCTCTCTGACATAGTCTACTCACCAGTCCCCTGTTGGTGGACATTTGAGTCAATTGCAGATTTTTGCCATTGCAAACAATATTGCAATTGACGTCCTTGTCCACTTCCTTAAGTGCTTCTGTAGCATAGGTTCCTAGACTCCTCCACTTTTTAGGTGGAAAGAGCTTATTCATTCATTCAAAAAATATTTATTAAGCTCTAGGCACTGAGGAAGCTCTGAGCTCAAACTAGGAGATTCGACCAGAATGTTACTTCTCAGATGCCCTAGCAAGGTCATTTAAGTGCTTTGCAGGGTTTGCCACCCTGGTGCTTCCCCAGACCCCAGACTCACTGCATCCTGTTTGTTCTTAATTGCTTGTGTCTTTGCCTGGGTAGTGGCATAACTGAGTCGATGCTTCAGCTCCTACTTGGTGGCCCATAGTCAAAAATCTCCACTTGCTAGGAGTCAGTGATTACAATGCCTCAGAGCCTGGGTTTTAGAATTTACAGAGACATAAAGTATAATGGTAAAGAACTTGTATTGTGGGATACAACTACCTGGGTACAAACCCCAGCTCCTCACCATGTGTTCTCAGAATGACTCTGTGCAAGTTACTTACTGCTTCCATGCTTCCATTTTCTTATCCACGCAATGAAGATAACAATATTATAGTGTTGTCATGAGGATTGAATGAGTTAATTATATAGACTGCTTAGTTAATATATATAAAACATGGAATG